TTCTAAACCGAACCATGGTCATGGAAAAGACAACAATCATGTTGCCAATACAGGATTTTTTCAGTTTACTTTTGGAATTAATCAAAATATCCACGGGATAGAATTTCCGTAAAATGAGATTCTCGATACAAAAATACTGTATTGGAAACCTGGAGTGCATGCGCACAAAGAGCAGCTACGACATTTTCTCACTACTCTTCAAGTCATCGATTAAACTTTAAAATATATTTTCCGGTAAAAGTATAAGTAACAAACGATGAGGGAAGGAGCATCGCGCGAACATCGTTCGAAATTTCTTATTCATCAGAATCAACACTGCCGGTCAAACTTTTGACTGCTTGAGGTTTTTGAATAACGTAGGCGGACAATTTGACATTATGAATCCAAAAATGGCACAGACAAATAATTTCTGAATTGTGCATTACGGCGCTGATTTGGGAGATATTTCCCTTAATCTCATACTGTGCGACCCCGTCTTTCATTCGATCCAATATTTATTTCGCCCTGAAGGGATTTTCGTAATTTCAATAAAAAAAAGAGAATAGAAGTGAGCATTTTAAAACTATAGTTGTGAGTCTGGTGACTTAAATTGAGCAGAATAGTACTTACAATTCTACTGTATATACATATACGATTTCATAGTACGAATAAAATGTAGAGTGCGATCAATAACTGTTGCATAATACGAGCATACTGTATGCGACTATTGAATATCATATTGAATGCTACAATCGATACATGCGTTCTTTAAGTTGTACATTTGAAATGCAAGGACCGAACTTTTACAGCTGAAAACATGCACTTGATCTTGAAAAAAATAATATTCAGTCAAGCAAAAGCACGATTTGCATAAACGTGCAAGGCGTGCTTCAAAGCTGACCTGCTGCATCTTCACTTCCAACGAAAAATAAAAATAAAATAACCGAAAAAAACATGCGGATTTTCTGCATGCGTACATGAGTCATCATGCTGGTCACTCATCCCTGCACAGCATAAACAGCAGCAGTGCAGTTCTCAAGGTTATGTTAAAAGTACTGCATGTACATCATATAAAAAGTACAGTGTTGCTGTTACAACGATGAATGCTTCTATAATGCAGTTTTGGTGTTCACGCGTATTGTTCTCCGCGATTGCAAATTAATGTATAATAGCCCAGCAGTACATGCACGTACTGTATTAGTGGGATTTCAGGTTTTATTTTTTTTTTTACAATTTTAGCTGTGAGGGAAACGCGAATGTGCGAAAAGCAGGTCCGAACTAAGTTCTCCTCCGTGTAGCGACATCCAAAAAATTATACATTGTACCAAGTCACTCGGCTAATCGTTATGAACAATAGATGTCGCTCTCGCAAATAATATATAGAAACTCTCCTCACAACGAAGTTGCTGTGACCGCTGCAAAAAAAGCTTCGTTAATGATGAATACGTTATGAAGTTATTTGACTAACATTGTTTCTATTGGATATGGATTGAAATGAGACTTCGTTGTAAGGAATAATTAATTATATTGAAATTCGTCTTAACGTTGGAGCTTCTACTGAATTTTGCATGAGAGCAGTACCCCGAAATAAATTATCGAAAATTATTTCAGTCCACGCAGAAAATTTTGCGTAACTGCTGCATTACTTGAAGCGTCTTGGTTTTTGTGATGCAGTTTGGTCACCGGTGTTAATATAGGTACAATCTATGGGGAAAGGTACGTATATTTGGGTAACTTATATGCATCATATATAGATGAGGTCATATTACGCTGATTGTTTGCTGTTGAACGACGAACCGAAAGTTATATATCGATCGNACAAAGAAACGATTAAAATGTATTTTAATTTCACCCGACTCCATTTTATGACTCACCAGCTTGGAAAGGCATGATTTTCGGATTCTTAATCAGTTGTCCACTTTCCGTCAAGAACCTGTCGGGATTAAAGACTTCTGGATGTTCGAAATTGTCTGGATCGTGATGTATGGCATAAATCATGGTCGTCATAATTGTACCCTATATATATGTGATAATTTCAATGAACAATTGAATTAAATCTTCGCAGTCTTCAAGATTTACTTTCGGAATTTGGTATCCAACAAACTCCACGTCCTTCGAAGCTCTTCGGTCCACTCCTAGTGGAACAATTGTTTTGTGTCTCCAAATTTCCCAAAGGACTGCTTCAGTGTAAGGCATTCTTGATATAAAAAATAGAAGAAAACGCTGAAAATAAGGCGACTGACACATTTTTATACAGTGAGACCTCCACATGCGGACACCTCAACAGGCAGACAATTTGAGATAGGGACATTTATCTTTCCATAAAAAGGGCATAAAAAGGCTTGACATACAGACACTGACTCAACATAAAATTTCCAATAAATTTCACAAGAATTATTGACTTTTATTAGGCTTGATCGCAAGAAAACAAATTTCCAACCCTCAGATTCATGCAAGAAAAATTTTTTCTCATATTGGCCATCATTTTATCATCCATTCAGGTAATTTAACCCTTGTGCGGCAAAGTTGGACTATTTTTGCAAAATTTTGTGGCACCTCAGAGAGGTTTGGAAAAAAATGATAACAGGTAGTCCTGGGCAAAGTTGGGAAAAATCCTGATGCTTTTTTCTCTGAACACAGAAAAATGTTGCCAGCAAAAAAAAAATTTCTCAGTTAGGCTACTGGCTTTTTTTTGGATTAATCCCGACTTTGCCTCAGCCCATCTGGAAGGGTTTTGGTGACCTTCCCATAAGTGAAAATGCGGGAGGATATGAAAATAATCCAACTCCGTCCTGCTATGGGAAAGAACCCTCTGCAGTCCGAGGGTTAAAAACATGACCTTTTGCATAGAGGGACTTCTTTCTCTCTTTGTGACTTGAATGTTATTTTTGCAGATGCCAACATTTCAATGCACTGTACAGAGGTACACTATTCAACGCTCCAAATTTTCTTATTGAGTTGAAAGTATATTCACTAAATCAAATTCCAGTGTAAAAATTTTTTTCATGGCTTCTGAAGAATATTTCTTCCATAAAAGACCAATTAAAATTATATTATGTAAGTCTATGGGGAAAACAAGAGTCAAATTAGGGACAATTCAACTTAGGGACATTCTTGATTCACCAATTACACCCGCATCTGGGGGTACCCAACCAAAAGCCCCCCTGCCAAAAGCCCCTCTAGGTCAAAAGCCCACCCTGCCAAAAGCCCCCCCCCCCCACTTTTTTCATTGGATGCAAGTTTCATAATAGTATTTCTTGCCCTGACAAGGGCTATTTGGTTTCATTAGTCCTCAAAAGGACTGTACAATAATCATCTTCAAAATTGGGGCTTTTGGACTACACCCACATCTGGGGGTCTCACTGTACATTATCATGATTTATTTACCTGACTCTGTCCTCTGAGTTTGGCAACCTGTCCTTACCCACGACGTTGTCTATTTCTTCTTGAATTCTGGACTGTATTTTCGGGTACACGACCATGTACAAAAAGAACCATCTCAGGGTCGTCGAAGTAGTTTCAGCGCCAGCAATGAAAATATCGGCGAGGGACCAAGCAACACTATCGTCTTTTAAATGTATAAAATAAATGAGTAAATTTCAACTTTTATGGAGATGGATTTCTTTTGCATCATTACCCTGAAACGTCGAAGAATCCTTCCCAGCATCTTTCAGCCTTTTTTCTTCGATGATGTAGCAGTCAATCAGGTCCCTGGGTTCACTCGGATCCACTGTCCTTCTGTGCTCATCAATGAGGCCCTGTTAAATAATATTAATTGAAAATTCGGGAAATTGTCATTTTTAAAGAAAAAACAGCACTTTCGAATGTACATACCTGCATATAGGAGTAAATTTTCTCTCTCCTCTTCAACCTATCTTCCTGTCTGATTAAAAATCCGGGTACAAATGGCCGCCAAGACGGAAGAAATGTCAACAATTTGGACATGTCAAATGGTAGAATGAATTCAGAGATTGTTTCGAGGATATCCTGGAATTCCGGGTTTTCGTTGTCCACTCTCTTGCCTGGAACACAAACAACAATGAATGACTTTAGCAACCATAAAATCCTATTGTGAGAATTCAAGATTTTTTCGAAGTAGGTGTCTTATATATACTCCACTCGTTCACTCCCCAATCATTTGCGCAAAAAGTTAATTTTTCCCCAGCATGTAACAAATGAGACAAGGTTCCTTTGAAAACCAGCCATTATTTACAAAATGTTGGGCAAGTTGGTACAGATTAATCTTCACCAGGAATTTTTTTTTATATTCCTCTTCATGAGGCTTATTATGAGGCAATAAAATATATATTTAAACCCGTGGGAATACTTTGAGGAGATCCTGTGTATGAGCCACAATACAAGGAAACATTCCAAAAATTTGTTCTACCTCAGCTTATTTCCATCAGCTAACTTTCTTTAAATCTTCTTCAGTGTTACTTCTCATTGTGGCTTCAATCTTTTGTATCACAAATTCCTTTTCAAGGAACAGTGCAAGTGTCTGAGTGAAAGTAGAAAAATTTTCCTACTCTAAAGATGGAAGAATATTAGGAAGATCATGAAGGATTT